TCCAGCTACGAGGCTTTCAACTGCCACTCAGTTGACCCGTCCTTCACCACCAGACTGGATAACGTGGTGTAACGGTTTGCATACCTCGTCGACTCTTTGAGCTATACTTGGTGGGGCCCTTGGACCTCCTAAGAGCTACTCTTATCAGGTTGGTCAACGGTTAGAGATCAGACGAACTCAATCTCCTGCTTCTCCAGGTTGGCGTCCATTTCTGTAAAACCGAATCGACGCCATACCCACTACATTGTGGACAGCCTTTTGAGCCAAATCTTTGGTTGCGGATCCTAGTCAAATTCAAATAGGGTAGGAACAAAGGGATATGTGTCGTGGATCTACTTTCGAGTTCGGTGTACGACTGGCCAGTTGTATGAGCCAAACCATCACGTGCAGAACACGTGGTTAACCAGTTAAGACCGACGTGCGCCGGCCACAGGCAATGAGAAACCGAAGAGTAACATTGTAGTCTAGACATAAAGTGGGAGAGATACAAATGCTGAAGTGTAATTAAGGACAGGAGCTGAAGTGCAGTTGAAAGATAAATTAAGGGTAGCAAAGGAAGATTCGGAGCTGCATGTTGAGGGCGTCAAGGCGGCGTTTAAACTCTGTGACCGTGGGTGACAATACGACGTCCTCGGGTACCACATTCCAGGAATTTATCACTGCGTGACAAACGAGTGTCAGACCGAACCCTATCAGATCGGGATATGGATGATTTCAACGGATGCTCACGTAGAGTAGGTAACTGAGCAGCATAAAGAAGCCAGGATAGGTCTGGGCTGATTCGCCCTTTTAGTTTATTATAAGTGAATACTAAATTCTTACAAAACGACAATAGTGTAGTGAGAGCTTTCTTAGCTTGAGAAATCTCTCAGGGAAGGACAGTGGCAGCAGCCATCGGACCATTTTGGTGCCACTCCTCAAGATCCGCACTACCGTCATTCTGTCACTAGTCAGACAAGGAGGACAAGCTTGGACGCAGTACTTCTGGTGCTATCTAACAAAGGCCGTAAACAATTTCATAAAATTTCTTCCGTCAGCATCCCAAATAATCTGCGTATCATTCAGAGAGTTCGGAAGCCCTTGCTATCCGCTCGATTTTAGTTCTCGCTGGATTTGAAGTCTGGTGCTAACGTAACCCCTAAGTCAACTTCTTGGGACACAAAGTAATTCGTTCTCATCAAGTATATAGTGCGTCGTTGGGTCATTTGATTTTACGCGAATAACTGAACACTGTAGTTTTTTGGCATCTGCCACAAAACGGGCCACTCAATTAGTCTGTCGAGAGCTTGTTGCAAAGCTTAGGCGCCACCAGAGTCGCTCACCGTGCACCAGAACTTCAACTCGTCCGCGAACTTGAGGGTAAGCACCCCCAGCACTTCTGGAAGTTCGTTAACATGCACAGCAAACATCAGTGACCCGTGGACTGATCCCTGTTGGAAGCCGCTCAGAACAGCTTATCGGAAGGAAAGGCTAGTGCCTACTCGAACACATATTTCTCTCCCTTCAAGAAATGCTGATATCCATTGAAGCATATGTCCGGAGACGCCACAGGAACGTAGCTTATGGGGAAGACGAAAATATGGTACGGAGTCAAAGGCTTTGGAAAAGTCAATCAACAGTACGTCCACCGCTTGATCCTGGTCGACAGACTCCGCCTAGCTCTCTCGAGCAACCAGTAGATTGGTCAGACAGGAATATCCTTCACGAAAACCATCTTGTAATGGGCTGAGGATGTCACACGCCTTAGCAATTTTCGAGGGCATCCCTCACCAGTTTTTCTAATAGCTTAACCAGCACGCAGGTTAACCTAAGAGGCCTGTAGTTTACGGGAAGGTGCCTATCACACTTTTTAAAGTGAGAGCACACAACAGCTTGCTTCCAGTCATTAGGTAATGCGCAGCTGACAAGAGACCGGCTCACAAACTTCATTTGCCAGTTCATATAGCAATTTCGGATGAATGGCATCGATACCAGCGGCTTTGGTCGGATTTCGCATTAGTTGCAATGAAAACACTGGCATCTAATACGGAGATCTCAGTTAGTGAAGTGTTAATTGGTAGTGACTCTAGGATAAACGTGCTCCCATACTGTTCATAAAGAAGACAGGCTTTGTTGTAATCAGTGTGCGCGGCAACCCCACTGGGTCCCTGCAACACCGGGATCGATGAATTAGCACGCCCTCGTCTTCTGACATAGGCGAAAAATCGCTTCGGGTTGGTTGAAGCCGTGTTTGCTGGTACCATTCCATAAAAATTCTAGCGTCCCTTCGATGCTGGTTACATGTGTTCCTTGCTGTTCCATAGCACCGTAGTACACCGTCTGATTGAGTCGAAAGTAGCTGCGCCAACACTTGCAGTGTCTGTTCAACAGTTGACGCGCAGTTAACTCAAACCAGGGTGGTCTGGCCTTTTCTTTCTTCCCAACTGAAAGCGGAATGTGAGGAACACCTCAGCAAGGAATGTTTTGAACTTATCCCAGGCCGTCTAGATATCATCTGCTGCCAAAATGGTACAGGGTGACAGGGTCGCACTGGATCTCATTGCATAAAATTAGCACACCAGATGTTCGCACCTTACTGAGCACTACGTGAAATGTATTGATATGGTGCGTCCAGGATCGTGCGCCTCTAGGATGGGCTCTGGCATGGCGGAAGTGGTCCGCCGGCGAACCCCCCGAAAACCCACCAATCGCAGACCACTCACCAGCGGCGCGACGTGACTTCAGTTTCACCCTGTCCGCTAGAGGAAGGTCCGGCTGTGTGCTGGCTCCAGAACCTTTTAATTTAAAAGCAAATCGCATAAGCGTTTGGCGCTGCTCCGGTGTGAAAAGAATCGCTCGTAGGTGAGGCCTAGGGTAGGGACTACTGACTTTCACGTCTCCAAGTATGGTTAGTTTACGAACGGTCACTCCAAGGAATCCAGGTGAGAGCAGTCTAGTGATGCAAATTTTAAACCATTCGATATCATGTAACATTCTTTCCTTGGGGAATGCGGACGAAGACTCAGTGACATTTCTAAAGCTTACGCTACTATCCGACTTGTATTCACAAATCGCTCCAACGTGGGGTGTTTACAGCGCGTTACAGAACCACGAGATGAGGACACATGCGTCAGTGTAGAATTGGTATCTGTACAAGACGGAGTTTGTAGAACGACTACAGGACTCATTTCCGGTGGTGGTGTGCTCAAGAGAATTGCCGTACACGCTGCGTCCCCTTGTCTTGAACTTTATACGAGGGTACTTCCTTTTTAGTCCCTTCGCTTATTTTTTCTAGACAGAGTCTGCAAATTGTCCTTATTATGAACGGAATCAAAAGCACCGTCCGACGGCCCATCTTAAACAGAAGACGTGCTCACAGAAAGAGGTATGATCGTCAAGTTGCTCATATCGGAGGAGGTGCACAAACCCTCAATACTGCTCATGACTGGTACACCAGCGTTTTCAAGGCTAGCTACGATTGCATTCACTATCCGGTCTAGATAAGGCAACAAAATGAGCAGCATGCGAACTACCGGCATATTAGCCTAACGCAACTTGTAACCAAACTACTGGCCTCGATTCTCGCCTCACTGCGGGACGGGGATCTCGTATTAGAGAGGAGCAGGCATTCTTACGTCAAAGAGGTGGCTGTATTGACCATATGTTCACTCTACCGCAGGTGTTAGAGCAGCGCCACGCATACCGCAGACCGACAATCGCTGTATTCCTCGACTTCAAGGGTGCGTTCGTTTCGGTAGATCGATGCATTCTATTCGAACTAATTACGCGGAAAGATGTTCCCACAAAGTATGTGCGTTCTCTATAATGGGACACGATGTTGCGGTGGCACAATCAACCCTGAGTAACTTGTGTAGACTGGTTCCATTGTTTGGTATGTACTTCGCACCTTCGAAGTGTGAATTTTTGCTGCAGTACCATCAGTCAGGTAGTGACCTCTTGACCCTTCATAACGAGGAACTCGAGGTGGTTGATCGATTCACTTACCTTGGCGGCTGCATCAACAACGATGGGCGTATAGAAACTGAACTCAGTTTACGCATTACATACGCCAGAATTGCCTTTTTGAGCTTCCGGCATCTTGGGCGACAGAAGGGAGTTTCCCTCCGTCTAACAAGCCGTGTTTACAAGGCCACAGTGAGGGAGTGAGCTTTGGCCCCTTTAGTCTGATGATCTGAGTCGCCTTCAAGTCTTCGATCATCGTTGTCTGCGGAGAATTGCTGGTAACGGGTGGCACCAACGTGTCCGCAACGATGATGTGCGCAGGCCAGTACTAGGCAATGATAACCATGCTACCTCCCGAGGACAACAGATGGCACTGAATAAGTTGCGGTGGTTTGGGCGCGTACTACGTATGTCTGGTCACCGCTTACCTAGGAGGACTTTGTTTAATCTGCCAGATATAGGGGGGCGCAAGACTCGAGGCGGACAAAAGTTGACTTGGCCGCGTGAAATGAAGTCACTGACAACCAGACTGGGCGCCGTCGGTCTAACTCGCCTTGTGCTTGGCTCGAGACTTTACAGGACATGGCTCGTAGTCGACACCAGTGGCGCGTCTGCTGCCGTCTTTTAGTCGGACTGGCTGTTTAAAGTGTGTTTCGTGATGAGTTACCTGTTGGGTAATGACTGACTATGGTGCTGGGCAGTGAAAACTACAAGGAGGCTGTCTTGCTGACACCACCTTACCTCCGCACAATAGCCAACATTTTGTGGTGTGATGTTGTTGATAAGGTGTAGGCGCCTTGACCTTGTATTTTTGCTTAGGGCATATAAAGTTTTACGGTAGGTCCCTTTTCTTCATAGTATTCTTGTTCCTTACCTCGTCGTGGTTGTATGACAGCATAGCATCGGTTCAAGGGACTGATGTACTGCTGTTGATGATGAACAGTTGCAGTTTTGCGAAACAATGAGAAATGTCTCCTACCGGAGTTACATTTTAGTAGTTGTTTGCTTGGTTTCTATGGCTGCTCTGCTTCATTGTTTTGTCTCTGGGCTTTCTTTTTAGATTCATTGTCTATCAACGTTTTTATAGTCCGCAAGGTGTCTGATGGATCGTCCAACTGATCTTGTTGTTCAGGCGACTAACGATGATGCTACATGTAGCAAAGCGTGCGCTGTTAAGAGAGGGTACTGGGTGGACCATTATATGCATTACTTTTGCCCATTTTCCCCCCATAAGTCACCTGAAATTAGTAGGGGTTATTTCGTCCGAACTCAGGCCTTCAAGGCTATCACCATGTCTTTCATTCAGGTAGGTCACGTATATTCACTGGTAAACCACAACCTTTGTACAGAAACACTGCGGCCGCTGTCAGATTGTGAATTTGGGAGCTGGCTCGGATACACTTTACTTTCAGCTCCGCGACTGCAACCTTGTTCCAGAGAAGTTTTTCGAAATCGATTTGTTACATAATGTCAAAAAGAAAATATCCGTAATCAGGAACCATCATCTTCTCCGCGGTGAAACGGAATACTCAGGTAATTCCACCACTTCCTTGTTTAGATAATTGACTAAACCTGGGAAACCCTAGATTTCTGTTATATTTGTTCTTTTTACGACAACTCTACCTTTCTTAATTCACGTGTTTTCTGATTGCTCCATGTCCATTCGCAGGCTGTTGCAAATGGTTGGCTGCATCCCGTCACTTTGGCTGGCCACAAGACGCCTGCGCCTACAGAGAGACCATGGGTGGCTTGCGCTGCACCGCCCACAGCTCTAACCATACACCCCATATCCATTGTAAACCCGAAGGAATAAGACCGGGAGGCATGTGGATGGGAGCCACGTTTCATCAATGGAGAAGGCTCATACTCCTTCACAGGCAAACGCAAGCACGCTGTATTTGGGGAATCAAATGCACACAAGGCGGTGGCTGGACCGTAGTCCGCTCCACACTGAGTGCAGGGAATCAATATTTGAGCCTAGCAGGACCACAAGCAGAGCGCATCTCGTCCCCTCCAGCAACGGCCAACTGTCTCCTAGAGCCAGTATGGACGAGGTAGTAGGTAATAGACAGGTAGCCACCTTGTCAACATGCACATCAAGTGCAGCCACACCGGGGATATCAAGCAACAGCCAATCATTTGAAACGAAAAGATAAATAAATCAAATCGGATAATGCATACAGATAGGCAGACATAACTCTTTACTTAATAGGCGTATTAAAAATTAATTACGAAGGAATTCAAGATAAGTTTAATAGTCGGAAAATATATTTTGAGTAAATGCCACAAACTCGAAAATGTTATTGAAATTAAATACACTTAGGTCATGCGAGGTGTGCAAGCTTATAGAAGATAGTAAAGGCAGAGATTAATATGAGAAAAAAAAGCATTAGGACAAAACTGCAACCTCACCACCTGAAATAAAGAGACTCAGCATGCAAGCACGCGGTTAGTAAATCGAATGCAGCGTAACTACAAACACTGCGCCGGTTCAGCCTACGTTCCCTACAGGACGCATCGTCGCTTCGGTAGTGGTCCCGAGTGGCCTCGCTCATGGCTCACTAAGCCTGCCTGACTCAGGCACTCGCGACCGCATGTGCTACAGCACCATGCACTCGATGACGATGGAGTACAACCCATCGGAGCTTGCCGCTTCCGCAATTGCCGCTACTTTAATACACGCATGAGATCTTTCTCCCGCACTTCGGCAACTGCCCTTGCGATCAGATTGCGCCATGCATGCCGATCAACCGCATTCGATTCCCATGATCTGCAATCAAGATTAGAACGTCAAAGGCTCACTTTGATCATGTCCTGGTAACGTAACTGTGGTTTCCCCACATGCCGCTTCCCAATACTCAGCTGACCATTTAATAGTTGTTTAGGTATCCTCGTCGAATCCATACGGCTCACATGACCGAGCCACCTCAGTTGTCTCAGCAAAAGTATGCAGTCCACTGCATACATTTCAGTTCGACCCAACAATTCCGTCTCCGTAACTCTGTCGCCCCATCCGATGCGCAGAATCCGTCGCAAACACTGTTGGTGGAACCGCTCGAGATATCGCATATTCTGCCGGTACATCGTCCACGTTTCACTGCCGTATAGAAGAACGGACAACACCATGAATGTGTACGCCACGAGCTTCGTACCAATGGTAAGCTGATGGTTGTTCCACACTCTGTACTATAGCTTCCCGAATGCCGCCGCTGCCTTCGACACGCGGATACGCAGCTCACTGTGTAACTGCTGGTCAGTCGACATCACACTCCCAAGGTAGCGGAAGCGGGAGGTGGTTTCCAATACTTCAGCACCAATGCTGATTCGCGGCAATATTGAAGACTGCATCTCCGGTGAAGGCTGAAAGAGAGACAGTTTTGCTTGTGTTGATGGTGAGCCCGAATTTGGCCGCTGTCGAAGCCATAGCATTAGTCATGTGCTGCATCTCATCCACACGGTGTGCGAACAACGTAGTCGTCAGCAAACAGCGACATACGGATAGTTGTCTTACAGACTAGAGTTCTCGCACCTAAACGACAGATGTTCAGCAACCTAACATCACCTACGGTGCTCCACACGAACACCGTAAGCCCAAGACATCATCGCATAAAGATAAATATTAAACAGGGCAGGAGCTACGACACAGCCTTGCTTCACACCAGATATCTGTGAAGTCGTCCGGGGTCTCCCCACTCTGCTGCACCGTCGCCCGCATATTACTGTGCAGACAATAAATTAATGTTACAAACCAAAGTTACCCAACACTAGTCACCATGCATCGCAGTTCACCGTACCAAATGCCTTGCTGAAATCAACAAAAAGCGAATACAGTGGCTGGTGTCGTTCTCTGCACTTCTCCTACAACTGACGAGCCGCAAACACCATATCTATAGTGCTGCGACCCGAACGGAACCCGCACTGCTCTTCCGCCACGTTAGGTTCCACAACCTGAATGACGAGGCGGTTGAGCAGGATTCGGGCAACCACCTTGCCCACACAACTCAGCAAGTTAATGCCACGATAATTCGTGCAACACTGCTTGCTCCCTTTGCCCTTGTACAGTGGTAGCACAAGCGCACCCGTCAGCTCAGGAGGCATCTCCTCCCCAAACTATACGCGTTGCACCAAGTGGTGCAGCGCAGTCAACAACGCAGGTCCGCCGTGTTTCAATACTTCAGGCGGGATCCCGTCGGCACTGGCACACTTGCCGTTTCGCAACTAAGCTAGTGGTTTCTGCATCTCATCTGGTATCGGCGCGTCTGCCATACTCATCTTCACCCTATGCTACTTGAGGCTGTTCAAATTAGGCCAGTTGTTCTCTGAACGGTTGTTCAAGTGACAGTCAAAGTGGTTTTGTCCGATCTGCATTGTCTGCAGTCTGTGTGCAGGTAACGCCTGAACTGCCATCGATCAGCGTCCTCAGCGGCTCCAATCTCGTTCCATATACCGCCTTCAAGAAGTCAAAGAATTCCTTGTGTTGGCGACGTTCGGCGTAGCATTCCATCTGCTTTGCCTTCTCCGTCCACCATGCAAGTTTAATGTGACGGAGCTCTCGGGTCAGTCACCGTCGAAGTTTGCGAAGCTGACTATTCTTCCCCAAGTCACTGGGGTCTACCACATGTGCAGCAAATGCCGCATTCATCTCCGACACCAATTTGCCAATCGTCGCATTGTTCTCATCAAACCCATCAGACAGCTTACAGTTTGCGCACCCATGGTCTCCACGGCAGCAGCTGTCACCTGGTTGCGAATGTGGTGCCACAGGTCGCCCACTGTGGCTATGCAGTCCACATCACACAGGCGTGCAGCCATCGTCTTCTCCATCTCAGTTCGTTTCGCCACAGTACCGAGGGAGAGAATGTTAGATTTACGCCGATTCACGGCGGGAGTGCAATACATAGATTTACGAAAATATATGTACAGTTTGGTCGGCACCAATTTGTGATCAGTGCCACACTCAGCTCCACGCAGTACACGTGTCATGCGCACTTCACGCATATCACGCTGACGTACGATGACAAAGTCAAGCAGGTGAGCGTGACCACTCCGTGGGTGTATATATATATATATATATATATATATATATATATGCATAAGTCTACGAATAGACATAATGCCATCAGAAACCATGGGATCCAAACGAAGGTACAGAAATAGTAAAATAAAACACAACACAACAATGTTCATGGTTTCCTCAGAGGGCGAGATACTACCCGGTTGCCCAAGCCGAAGTAGGGTGTTGACTTAGAGGACACCACCCCGAGCCTTTGGCTGAATAGCCTGTCCGCAAGGCAGCGGAGCGAATTCAGGGAATCGCGCCCATTGGGAGCCGGTGACTGATTGCTCAGTTCATACGCCTTTCGTTTGTTCCTTTGTCAAACAGGGGCCCAATGCTCCCCAGAAGTACAGCATGACGTTGCTGGACTACGATGCTTCGCCAGGATGAAGCAAGAGGCAGTGACTTTATTTTGTGACGAGTCACGTCCGCCACGTCACAGTGTTGTTAAACGGACATATGTGGCTTTTTATAGGGAGAACGCTTGCCAGGCGAAAACCCACCACGTTCTGGAACACTGCCGCCGAACCATTTGCCGGAACGGGAAAATCCCGAACCACCCAGCTGGCACCACGAGGAGGTTGTTCGGCAAGCCAGCCGTGGGTGAACCCGGGTTGCTATATCACTCGCATTCAGTGCAAACCGAGTGTTCATGATTGTCAGGCCGTGAGTGGCACACAGTGAGAGTAGCCTGTCACCGTTCGCATTCGCCGAACCAATGCCACGCGGCCCGAAAACATTTGCCCACACCGATGCATCAAGCCCAACGCGCGCGTTGAAATCACCCAGCAGAAATAGTCGGTCGTTCCCCGGCACCGACTATATCATGGAGGATAGCTGTGTGTAGAATCGATCACGCGTGTGATCAGGATAAGATATGGTCGGACCATACATGCTTATAAACGTGGCAAACTTACCTCTTCCGAGTCCTAGGCGCGCGGTCAACAGTCGCGCGCTGATGCCCCTTGGTTCACCCACCAGCAGGCCATGGAGGCGATCGGATATTGCAAGTCCGACCCATGATCACGTGGTGCTGAGGCGGCGTTGCCCACCCAGTAGAATTTGTAGCCAGCACCTGCTTCATGCAACTTACCTTGCTCAGCGAGCCGGGTTTCACTGAGCGCCGCAATCTCGATGTGGTGGCGCGCCAGTTCATCGCGATGAGTGCAGTGCGTCGCTCGAGGCGTTCAGTTGAGTTCCGGTCCAGTAGTGTGCGCACGTTCCGGCACCCGATGCTGAGTGCTTTGCGCGCAGGCATACGATTGCATTGGTGGGCAATCGCACGCGAGGTGGTCGTTGTGCTTCGGAGGTTTGACTGTGGGACCCCACCCGGAGCCTTTTGCTCAATAGTTTGACCCACAGTGCAGTGAGTGATTTGGAGGTTTGCTTGTGGCACTCCGCCCGAAGCCTCTGGCTCATTAGCCTGATCCGCAAGGCAGTGAGGAGCTGATCAAGCTCGGAAATGTGATTGTAGAGA